CAAGACAACAAATCCAGTATTAGATCTGCAGACATGATCCATGCACCCTGTTTCCTGCACGGGTTCGTTATGGGCATTGGGTGATTCTCCAGCTGGGCTGTACACAGAAGCACAGCATCCTTCCTAGTGCTTGCACCACTTCACACCTCAATTGTAACCATCATTTAAAGGCAGGAAACTGGAGCCCTTTTCTTATGCATATCATCAAAATCACTCCCACAGCTCAGAGGTACAAGGAGGACAGGCTACTTGTCACAGGAAATAAAATTCAACTGGGTCAAAAGAAATTCTTCTAATTCACAGGAGATTTCTATACCATTTCCTTTCCATTTTAAATAAGGACATGTCCAAAATTGTGTTTTATGCTGAGAAAAGCCRAAGTATAAAAGTTAAAATAAAAGGAATTCAGGTGCAAGTATATTTTGGAGAAGTCTGAAGTAGGAAAAACCTGAAAAAGCAATAATTCTGATAGATGCTGAGGACAGCATTTCACCACAGCTATAAATTCCCTCCAAGAAATTAACTCTGAAGCAGTTCAGCAGAGGATACAAAGGCAGAAATCAGAAACAGATTTTGGCTCTGGCTCTTGGGCTACTACCAATCTCTCTTTTAAAATATGTATTTTTATTATTCTAGGCCTAAGTGCATGCAGTTCTTCAGAGCAATGGGCTGCCATGATCTGGGGCACAATGACCAACCAAGAGTGCTCAGTTCCAACTATGAATAAAAGGTATTCAAGAACTATTTTTGTACAGTTGGGTTAAAAATATCTAAGAAAGAGTACAGATCAACTGGTGACAAATCCAGAGAAGCACATATTTAGACTGCCACAACAAAGAAAATTTAGGAGAAGGGCAACATCTRAAAACACAGTGGACAAAATCCATGCACAGAGCAGACTTCCACTCTGCACACTAAGCAAGTTACAGTCCTATCTTTGCAGGAGAACACAGGAATGCCAGAGAAGAATTTTCAAAACCATGAATGATGATTTTGATCAAATTTTGCATTATTATTGCTTTGGGAGTCCTAAGACCAGAAAGGTCATGTTCAACACTTTTCTGAACTTCTTATCTTCACTGAACACGTTCCCAAACACATCCATGTGTAATGTCACAAGATCTATACATAAGTGAATCACTGGTTACAACACCAAGTTGTTCTAGAAGTGGAATTTCCCACAGAGTCATGACTCTTGCCAACTTCCACAGGCACATTATCTCCTTATGGGCAGTGGGGTTTTAATGCTGTTGTCTTCTGCCTCTAACACACCCATATCCTCAATAATGGGTGCATTTTTTTAAGAGAACAGATTACTGATTGATCTCTGTCCAATTCTGCTGTATTTGATGGCCATGGCTGGCAAATGGCTCTTTGGGTCAGAATGCAAAGTTCTCTAGAAGTTGTCAGAMGGGAAAAGAATAAATTGAAATTTAGGGATAGAAGTCCTTCCTCTACTGAAGTCTGACCAGMTAGAATGACACATTCCATATCATGCACACCATGGGTTGGAAATCAGAAGAAAATTGCCTCAAGTCAACTGTCTTTTGTCCAGACAAAAAAAAACTTTATTGCAACACCAAGCTTTTAGAAGGATTACTCCACTGTGATTACCTTGGCCACAATGTGCACTTAAAGACAAGCCAAACACCCAACTACAGAGCCAAAGCCTATAATTAGGGCTAAGATTTGATGAAGGCATGTTAGGATAATTCMGAAAGCAGTCATTTCACAAAAAGCAACAGTAAATGCAAATATYGCTATTACTTTGTATCTAGAGAAATCTTCATTTTATCAGAGTAGCAGTGTTATGGTCAGGGCACTGCAGTTCAGAATCAACTGTTCTGCAGTAAATATGTAAGAACCACACTTGCTTTATATCCTGTGCACAGTAAAGGAGAAAAGCAGCCTGCTCACAGAGTCCTAGCTTACAGTGATCTGCCCCAGACCACTACAGGCTCCCGTCCCTGTAGAACAGAATTTGCTGCAACACAGTTTGCAACAAAAACAGTAATAACAAAACTTGAAATGGAAAGCAAGYGCAAAATCTGCAGAATTCCTTATGGTTTGTGCAGTATTACTCACATAGCTGACACTGAGGCAACACACCAAGTACTCATCCAGAAGAGTTTACAGCATGGAATGCCTGTAACTAGGTGATTACTAACTGCTAATACACATTTAGAGGAAAAAAAATATCTCTATGTCAGAACAACATGTTTGCCTTCTATGACAACATAACAAGCCCAAGGAACATGGAAGCATCAATGCATGTAGCATCTGGACTTCAGCAAGGCTTCTGACAGCCTCTTACATGCTCTTTCCACAAGCAATTAAGAAAAAAAAGCGTATCCAAAACTAGCTGACAACAGTATACACAACTCATTGAAAAATACTCAAAATTGATCAGTGTCAGACTGGAACAATGTATCAAGTGATGTCTTCAAGAGTTTGACTGGAGTCCAACAGTATTCAACAGTGTTATTAATTGTCTACGTGATGCAATAGATGGCATTGTTATTAAAGACCATGTTACTGGAGGAGCTTTTATAYTATCAGAAGATAAATCAAAATGGTCTTGACAAATCTGGAGGGGGAAACCCACAGACTGGATTTCTCCCTGTCCTTTTTAATAAAGACAAATGTACACGTCAATAGGAATCCTCATCTATACAAGATGGAAAAATTATTTGCTTGCCAGAAGTTGTGCAGAAAGTAGTCTGGAGTAATAAAGTGTTAGAAAACAATTGTGCATCAACAATATATTTAAATGACAAGCTTCAAAGGGTGGTGTACAAAAGAAGCATCTTTTGTGGGACAAGTGAAGCAATTCTTTCACCTCTAGATAGCACTGACATGACCTTAGTTAGCATCTTATATTCAGTTTTGGGCATCACATTTGTAGAAAGATAGGAAGCAACTGGAGAGAGTCCAGAGAGGGAGGAGGAGGGAAAGGGAAAAAAAAAAAAAAAAGACTGGAGGTCTAGAAAACATGACATATGAGAAAAGATTGAAAGAACTGGGTTTGTTTAGTCTGAAGAAAAAGACTAAAAAGAGACATGATAACAGTCTTCAAATATGTAAAAGATTGTTACAAGAACGAAAAACTATTTTCCACAGATACTCCAGATAGAACTAGAAACAACAAGCTAAGAGAAAGGCAAATTATGTTTTTAATGTTTAAGTGACAGAAAAATGAAACTTTTGAAATACTGCCACCAGGGGCTGTGAAAGGATTAAAGGTTTTTAAGTACAAACATGCYTGGAACCAGCCAGGTATAAAAGATWTTCACAGGACYGCTGAATGAACCTATGACTTCTTGAAGTYTTATTCAACACACTTTGATTCTGTGTTGTAGGCATAAAAAATAATTCCCTTATTTGTAAACACTTGCTGGGTTTACAATGACTAGTTCCTTTTCTTATAAGAAAAACTGTTCTTTCTACTAAGACAAGAAATTCTCCGTAGCAAATGCAAGGAGCACTGACATTCCCTGAAACTGTCTTTTCCAAACCACAACAGAACAGGAGACAAACACTGCCACTCATTACAACTGTAGAATTGAAACAAGAATGTGATACATTTCTCTTTTCTATGCTGTTTACTTATAAGAGTGGTTTTCCTTTTGTGTAAAACATTTGCTTCATGAGGACTTAAAAAGATGTAAGAAATTATAGAAAGAWGAGATTATGAAAGTGAAGTTAAGGTCAAAATATCAAGTGACATCAGCTACTAAACTAAGGCAAGTCTTACAGGGCAAATGAAGTGCAATAACTCGAGTTTTAGTCATTCTGAATACCRCCAAGCAATAAATTTACTGGCTCATATATTCATCAGTGCAAATTACTGCAGGAGGTGGCCACTGCTCCTCTCCTCATGCCACACTTRCACCACAACTATACTCAGATGCAAAAAAGCTCTTTCTGATTAAAAGCTGCTGCTATGGAACTTTGCATTGTGTGAGGTTCTGAGCTTGTGAAAACTGCTTGTTCATCACACRTGGAACAGAGTATAGATGCCAGTCCATGGGGTACACTCTAAGGCACTCCCAGGCCTTCAGAGGATAGGAGCAAATGATTACAAAGCTGAAAGTCTAGAGACCAGAGAGATGCCCTTAAAGTATTATCTCCACTGACAGGGTTATGCAAAAGTAAGACAAGGTAATACATCATAGTCTTCCCAGGAATGGATATTTAACTGTGGTTTGGTTAAAAGTGGCAGTTTGGTATTTCTTAATGTTTTCTTAAATAAATTAACTGAAATCAGATTGTAGCTAGGATCCTGGAGGCTGTATTTATTTATAAAAAGTTAAAAAGAGTATTATTAAYGGTCCAAGCCTCCATGGTGCTTTGGAACTAGATAAAAATCCATGTCCTCTCTCTTCATTTCAGTAAATAAGTTAGGGTTTTTTTTATGCTGTGCCTTATTTTGCCTCTTTCTGTATTTTTAGACAAACTATTCCCTTCATTCCAGTACTCTTTTTTCCTTCAGCATGGGCAATTTTGTTTTCTTCTCTTGTTTTCAGAGTAAGTGAGCACTGCTTACTYAGTGAGTAAGTGAGAAGAGCTGATGTATTAGTCCACCCTCCTTTAGCTTTGGGACCGTCTCTGAACACAGCATTTAAACTGACATGTCACTAAGGGTCAAGAAGAACAAACAGAAGATGGATGGGGGGAAAGCAAACACAACACCTCACTCCCATTGCACCATGTCAGATGAGCAGACAAGAGCCTGCATCAACCAAAGAGCAGGGACAGCCCTGCACGGGTGAGCTGGCTGGAACAAGGCACTTTGGTGAATGTTGGGGTCAGGCTGCTAAGGAATGGGATGGGGCTGGATGYAGAATTTGTGAGAGTTAAACTGTTAAGGTGATTTCAACAGGCAACTTTGATGAGCTGTTATGAACATTTGGAATACATCYATTTTCTTACAGCATGCTAGCTGCCACACATTGCCACTCCTGTCTCACCCCCATCCCTCTGAGCCCAAGGAAGTTTACCAATATTTGGATGCTTAAGAAGACGGCAAATTCGAGCTTCACGTTCCAGTTTCTGGTGATCTGAAAGAGAATAACAAACAAGGTGTTAAACACCACAACTCTGAATTAAACTCCTGTTCATATTCTACAGAGAGAGGAACACAGCAACTCAGCAGACATCCTGAAAGCTGGGAACTGCTGGAACATGACTGCCTCCCAAAACTCCATAGACATTGCAGGTGAGGGCTACGCAGCTGAGGCTGCTCTAGGACTGCTGCTCCCACTACAGAGCCAGCACAAAACTGGTATCACATCCTTTGATTTAAAATGAGTAGCTGCAGAATGAAAGGCACAGCTCTTCCATCAGCTTCTCAAGTATGCAAAGCCACTTTGACTGAGACCCCTTCTGATAGTTAACCCTTCTCTGAGGCCAGAGAGTTGGAGGAAAAGTCTCAGAAAAAATAACACACATGAAATGGGAAAAGGAATTGCTTCCACTCCAAAGAAACACTGCAAAAGAATAGCAGAGTAGGAGGGAGAAAGACACAGCTCCTGCTAGTGCACAGCCATCACATGAAGTAGAGAACTCTGCCAGCTTCAGTGAACTGTAAATGTAACCATACTTCAGTACCCATGGACAGACTCGYTGGTGAAATGCTGATCACGCACTTAGAAATCTCCAGGCAAGAAGTTCTGCCCAAATGCTAAGTATGCTTATTCCAGCCCAAAGGCAACATCAGTTCAAGCACGACATTCATCTGGATTAAAGAAAAATATCAAGGAGAGTAAAAAATGGTTTCTCCTCCCATGTGTGAGTTCAAGGAAAGGAGACTGAGTTAGAGCAACTCTGCCTTTCTCAGCCAAGAGGCAGGGGGTGTTTTAGCCACTGAAATTTTTCACTGCAGAAATGGTTGACTCCTGAATTTACACTACAACCCCCCCCATCTTCTCCTGTGGAATGGTCACACTGGACAAGCACAGATTGACTGAAAGCAACTGAGAGAGACAAAATCTCTCAGGCAGCCCTAGCAGCTGCTAAAGTCTAAACTTTTGTGGATGCAGATGCCTAGAACAAGACAAGTAAGAACTTCCAGTCCTTGGACTTCCCATTCCAGCCATCAAAAGAACATAGCAAGGAGAAGTAGCAGTCCTGTTCACTCTTGACATTTCCTCTCTAGCAGACCTTCAGCATAGGTGTGACTGCATCTCTGTGACACACAGACTTCCACAAGAGTAAGCAGGACCCTCAGCTCGTTGGATTACTCTGCAGATCACTCCCAGAAATGCAGCACCCTTTGATTTATAGAAACTCCACTAGAGATCTACTTCAACAAAGCTGCACCACCTCTGCCTGAAAACTGCCTGTTCAGCTCCTTGGTCTCTGCATCATCTTCCCTTCTCTCTGTAAAGGAGGCTTTGGGCAACCRTTCTCTTTTCCACGAGCAGAAGACAGAGACTGCACCAAATCTCAGTGCAGAACCCTTTTTTCTCCCAGGCTGGGAATAGAAGCTCAGGGCATTGCACGATTTCTGTCTTCTTTTCCACTGCTGTACTATAGAAAATGTCCCAATTAATACTTTATAGGGCTGAGATGTGCTTACATCTTCATCTGCTACTGTTCAGGGATGGGGGAAGGTAAATTACTCCTTTCATCTCTCCTTCCTTTCAGTCCTGGAAATTATTGTTGTTGTTGCATATATTTTAGCTTCTGTGCCAGAACCACTCTCCCACAAAATAGCAGGCAGCAAGAAAGCCTGGAGAGCTTCCATGCTCCTGAGGCCTTGGTGCAGTGCAAGCACTTTCTCACCTGCATTGGTAGGGAGGCGTGGGGGTGTCTTGGCTTCCCTTTCAGCAGCATCTCTCACAAATGAAGTTTTGCAAAACACAGTTGCAAGGTAACAGTGCTGCACACTCTGCACTCAGGAGAGATTCTCAAAGCAGGATAACGGTTTAAGATAAACTATCCACAGCCTGCTCGCATACTYGGGTCTTGCAAATTCCCCACTTTCCCTCCCAGCTCTACTTGGAACTCCTACAGAAGGGGATCCTTCATCCACCCGGATCACATTGCCCTCGTGCACAGCTATACTTGCTGAGAATCTGTTCCCAAGTACAAGGACACAGAGAAGCAGACAGCAAAAACAGCTGAGCAAAGGGGGAAGAAGAGGCAAGAGCTCACCACGTGCTACTCAGCCACCAAGTCTGACAGTCAGGACAGACAGCTGACAGGAGCAAGGCTCAAACAAAATGACATAACCATCAAAATGCCATGGGAGATGTAAATCAAGAGCAATTGCTCCCCTGAAATCCTACACCATCGTGCAGAGGGAGGGGAGCTGGCAGGGCAGCTAGTGTTCATGGGCAGCAGCCACACCAGAACTTGTGACAAGAGGTCACCACCCCACACCCCATCCCTCCAGCACCACACAGCCTGGCTGGAGACCAGAGGAGGAGTACAGCACTCCGGTCACAAGGTACAGGAAACTATTTCTGGTAGGGGGGAAAGCATACCACACTCTTCTGTCTCCAGGGCAACAAAACAGGCCAACTCAAGCACAACTCACAGAGAAAAAGCACACTCTAGCCCCGGGAGCACCAGCCCGCAGCAGTCAGCCGCCACAACTGAGAGCARTGAAAGGTCAGGCTGAGCGGGTTTCCTGCCACGAGTCCTAGAGGATCACATCTCCTGTTCCTCCAAGATCACCCCTCCTGTTCCAGGCAGCACCAGGACACAGCCCAGCCAGTGACTTGATAAATGCTCCCCCACCCCATCCCCAAAGGTCTACATCGCCTGGTGGCCTTTGGCATGGTGTGGACATTTGACTTGTCAAATCAGCACCAGAGTCAATTTGGTAATAGTGGGGAACAACCTGGTACCTAAATGCATAAGGAATAAAAACTTCAATTTTCTACCTTACTCTGGTCTAACAAAGGTTATTCCCAGTAGGAGACAAAACATCCAAAAATTTTTGAGTCCAGCAGAGCAGTCAGTGGGTAGGCTTCAATACTTCTCTCATACACTTCTCTCTGARTTCTAAAATGCAAAGTAGTCTTAACTATATTCAAATAACAATGAAAAGATCCCTTACTTACCAAGAGCTTGCAAAGAAAATATTTGCTCYTCCCTCTTCCCCAAAGATAAAACTTATTTCTGCAAATCATTTGTGGAGTGGAGATGTTTATCCTGAATGCACAGTGGAAGCACACCTCATAGCTAACAGGAACACAACAACACATGTGACATACCTTACAGGATTCTAGGCCTGCGACATTGGGCCTATYTCCCACCTTTCACAAAACTGTGAAATTCAACCAGTAATGTCTATAACTTGTCTAAAACAAAGTATATCTTTTAGAAAACATAAGGGTTCACATTCAAGACTTCAAGTCATAAATAAAGTCATACACCCACAGAAATTACTCCAAATGTTAGCTATCTTTCCTGYTAAAATTCAGCATGGCTGTTCCAAGTCTGAATTCATCTACCTTCTGCTTCCAAATATTGGATTTCATTAAGCTCTTTTCCTGCTACGTTACAGAGCTGTCTAGCCCTGAACAATAGCTGATGCTTAAAACTTAAGTACAGGATATTACAAACACTCATCTAATATTAATTTACTGTTTTCCAGCCAAGAAAAAAACGAATCTTGCTATTTGGAAAATTATTCTATCTGCAGTATGAAGCAATGAGTATCTACACAGACAGGAAAGTGCAGTCTTATGTATCTCTTTAGCAGCAAAATTTAAAACGTAAATGCTTAAAGAGATGGTGCTTAAAAACAGGAGAAAACTTAGTCATGTTTGATATGAAAACCAAGGTGTGAGTACTTATTTATCTTTAACAGTCCTTTACATTATATGATTTCTGTGTCTCTGTTCAGCATGTAAACCTACATTTAACCCAAGTACATTTAACATTGCTGCTCTGCAAATATGGCACTGTCATTCTAGTGACATTACTACTGCATTTCTTTAGAACATACCTGATGAAAAAATGCCTGTTAAGAGAACTGGGATTTCTCTGGGATGGGTTTTCATTTGGCTAGGGATTTACTTTAATAGAATACAAGAAWGATTGTGTTAGCATCATTTGTAAGAGTTAAGGACCTACAAAAATGAAATTGCTYCATTTCATACAAATATACAGTCCACTCACTGGGACAGGACTCTTCATGCACAACAAACAGAAATTGTGCACAATTAGCAAAGTCACCGCTGTAAGAAACTCTGACTGAGAAGGYTAAAACAACAACCTTGCCTGAGTACAGAAGACAGCAGACCAAAACCATCATAGTTTGTCCTGATTGTTCACAATGCATCATACTTCAGCAGATACTCAGGATAACTTGATGCAAAAGAAAGGTGTACCCAACAGAAACAAAAACCAAAATGCAGACACCTTTACTTCACACCTGGCAATCTCCAGCAGACTGTGGAATATGACACACTTTTTATTCTTTGATAAGAAAATAAATTTTATTGCCTGACCAGTTCAGTTTGATATCCCAAGGATGCAGTGGCAGAGATGAATCTGTAACATGAGACCAAATTTTTGGGCTCCATTTTTCTCCAGGGAAATGGTTCCTAGTTTTCTTCTCTAACCACTACAAGCAAGGCTGCTTTTMAGGAGGTTTTTCCTCACAAGGTCTTTCTCCTCCAAGAGTACCCAAGACCTGGAGAACATTTTCAGACACAGACAGGGTATTGGATATCTACAAATCCCAGTAGTCTAGAGCTGCCAAGTGAGAACATTTACATAACAACAACAGCAACAAAAAGATGAAGGAAAAAGTCACGGTGCCTAATCAGCCTGTTAGGAAGCTGTGCGAGGAGAAGGGGCGTCCAGGGAAGCACAGGGAGACCCATCTCCATGGAGCTGAGGTATGCTTCTGAATGGCAGAGCCTGGAGAAGGACACYTACCAGAAACCCAAAAAGGAGATCAGTCCCAAACAGGTGGGGTGAGGGTCAAACCTGAGCCAGAGAGCAGGAGGAGCTGGTCAGGTGTCAGGTGCCAACACCGCCACCCTGCACTGGCAGCACGGCGTGAAATCCTCCCGACTTCAGACACAGCTGCCATGCC